CACATGTGCGTTGAAGTCTCCCAGCAAGATTAAAGAGTCCCCTTCAGGAGTCCCATACAGGACTCTTTCCAGGGTCTCCAAGAAGGCTGAATACTCTGAAAACTGCTGTTTGGTGCATAAGCACGCACAACAGTCAGAGTTTTCCCCCCCATAACCCGCAGGCGTAGGGAGGCGACCCTCTCGTCCACTGGGGTAAATTCCAACAAAGAAGCACCCAACCGGGGGCTTGTGAGTATCCCCACACCCGCCCGGCGCCTCACACCTTGGGCAACTCCGGAGAAGAATAGAGTCCAACCCCCTTTTATATACTATCATGTTTAATCATGTTTTATGCCGTTTGCTAAGACTTGATAAGTCGCTCATAAAACACAGGAGGTATGGAAACTAAGAACACCATATATTTGGTAGATTTGGCAGCTGATATAACTCAACACATTAGTTTTATTTCCTTTAACTGATGGATATAGAGTTGCTGCGGGGGGGGGTTGAGACGCACAGGCTGCAGTGGAGACGCTGCGCACAGCTGATAGACAGCTGGAACACAAACCACCAAATAAAAAAATAAACATTAATTGACTCCACTCCGCAGGGATCCCCCGATACTTTTTTACAGTTTCTCATCATGGGGGGCTCTCCTGTCCCCGGCACAAACACACTGACACACTGCCTGTGGAAGGTTATGTGTATTTTGTCATTAACTTTTTTCGGACCACTTATTTATTTATTTTGGTGACGATCCGACCTCCATGCTGCTACTCTGGTTCAAACTGCATCCACGAAACAATGTGATTTGTCTCCACCTTCCCAAAAGAACCAACATCTGACACGGTGTGAGATGTCTTTTTTAGCTGTTCTGTCGTCATTTCCTGCGATCTTCTTCATGCAGTCAGTCAAAATGAATATTAATACGGGGCGTTTCTTTGACTATTTATAGGCAAATATGGGCGTTACGTGAAGCCCGCAAAAGCTGCGCCGCATTTCGAGTTGATTGCGATTTATAAAGGGAAACCGGCGTAGGACGTGCCGCACGCAAGTCCTACGCCGGTACGCAGTGTTTTATGAATTGGGACATTTCTGTGTGTATTTATTTGCTTTGTCCTACGTAAGCAACCTTCCCACGTGAAGCCTACGCAAGGCTTTATAAATGAGGCCCCTGGTCATTATTACTGTGAAATACACCAGTTTCATTCTATAACAACCCTTCCAGATGTATTTATTCTCACAAGCCATAACTCAACATACATGCTGTCATCTGTATATTACTTGGATACTCATTAAAACATCAGTGATGCAGTTTTCTTCCACAGTGCACAAAGCCATTCCCCTCACTTTGATAAATGGTTTACAATGTGACATATTGAAAGCAGTTGAAATGAAAAGAAGAGCGAGTCGTGCACACTGCTGCACACATCTTGATCTCTATGGTCTTAACATATTTCCAAATAACACAATAAATAGCCAAAAGCACAAAATGATGATGATTTTATCAGAACATTTTCCAGATGGCTATGTTAAGTAGGACAAAACCTCTCTCTCTCTCTCTGGTGTCCAGATTTGAATCTACATAAGCCATTCTGTCAATATGTTTGCACTGTACTGTAAAAAAGTCTGTGCCACGGGGAAAACATGGACCTGTTAATTCATTAGCCACACTTTGAAGTCCTTCTCACCTTACTCCTAAACTCCATCGTTGGGTTTAGTTCAGCACTTGAGACGCAAATTAAAAGCAAAGACCTTGAGGCACGGGGGCCATCTGGTCCTGGCTCCACTGTAAACGTTTCATTAGTCAGATAATTATTCTATTCCCCACAGGCATACAACTGCCTGAGGAATAAATGACCATGAGGCTGCAAACATGTACAGGTATACAATTACATTAGGACTTGTATGTGCAATACCACAATAAAGAATAAATACGTGCTTTTAGGTTATTTAATTTAAAAAGTAGTTTCCTATAAGTATTCAAAATGAAGGCCTTTTTTTTAAGAAGTTACATTTGCATTGTACAGCTGAATTTATTTAGTCAATTAGTAGTTCCAAAGGAGAGTGCCTGTCACGCCATAGTATCTGAAAAGTAAAGTAACAGCTTCTCCAGTATGGGAGGACTTTCTTATAAACAGTCTAATATTTAAGAAAAACTATTCTGGATACATTTTGATGCCAATTCAGCCCAATTAAACATGTATTTAATATAAATATTTGTATGTTAACAATGGATCAAATGACAAAAAGTAATGAGAAAGGGTTCTTTTGTAGTGGCTCTACAGAGTTTCTTTGAAGCTCTTTGTTTTGGTTTTATGGCTTGCAACTTGACTATTTTTGGTTCACTTTCATCAACAGCAGTGCAGCAGCAGCAGGCAGCTATTTCTGCCGAAAAAGCTTCAATTAAAACCCACTGCTCACTACCGATTAGGCACCAAATGGCAGATTGGCGAAGTTAATGACTACCTGGTGAAGGTGGTGGAACATTTAGACAGTTGTGATACATACACTCGTGCAATGGGCAGAACAAAAACAAAACTATAAAAGGTGGGCTCATTTTATAAAAGTGGAGAGAAACACAACTATACAAAGCCAATGTTGCTTTGTATCTGCTGGATGTGTAACACTAACCCTACCCGTAAAACACCAGTTTGCTAATGCTATCCTTTAAAATTATATATTGGACAGTTATTTCAGCTTATTGTTTTGAGCTTTTCAGAATTACTTAAATAACAGTTTAGCTTTGTTGTGGGCATTCATGCACATGGAATAATTGATCCTCACTTACATTTCTGATTTTTACATGCCTCTTAAAAAGGTACGTTATACTGTTTTTCATCAATATGTTATAGGTCTCAGATATATACAAAACATGTCTCTGAAGTGTTTGGCTCGAAATACCAAACAGACCGTGCATTGTAGCATCCCATAATCCCCTCTGTTTCAGCCCTGTTTCAAAAGTGCTGATTCTCTGTCTGTTACGTTAGATGAAAATAAGGAGCCCCTCCCCACGCCCCTCTGAGAGATATTTGGTTAAAAAGAACACAATGGTGCTCTAGGAGGAGATTCAGGTGATAAGGGGGTTACCTTGGTTGGTGATTGGCTAATGGTTACACAAGCCAAAACAATCGTTATGACATCATTAAGTGGCCAAAATCTGATCAGCTCATTTTCAGACAGGTTTTTATATGGATCAGGACAAAAAGTGAGCAAATCTTTTTTCCTGAAACTTTCAGAATCTCTTTACACAGAGGGGACACATGTTTATGTATAAAAGACATGAAAAAGTGGATTTTGCATAATAGGTGACCTTTAACATGCCTGAAAATGTGATGGGCAGATTACATTTGCGTTTTGCTTCATAATTCTCACGGTCCCAAGACGAGCTCCGTCATGTTTGGTGATAAGCCAGATGGCAATTAAACTTCAATTTGCTGTAAAGAATCATTATTCAAAAATAATAAAGCGACTGGCAGTTTGGGTCACCCTGAAACCAAAGCTTTCATTTGTACACAAGGAATTGTCTGATGTACAGAAGAGATTTATTTGGATCCTGTTTCCTGCTTTGAGGTCAGATTTACAATTGTAGCCTTCCTTTGATGAGTATAATAACTCTTTCAGTATAGTATATATACTATACCATATAATGCTGTTATAATGTGATGCAGCTTCTAGAGATGCCATGAAACACACAAGCTGTACGAACAGTTTATAATTCATTGCTAGCGTCATTCAAATGGAGGCATGGATACAACTCAAACCTTTGATCTGTGCTTTTTATTGTTATTCAGGTAAAAGTTTTTCCATCACTCGTGATTTCTCAAACATGTGTTTGCGTTCCAGCAGTGGCCACTATTGGTTCCATGAGTCTCCACATCAGACTTTTAGATGGCAAGAAGTTTAGCAAGGAAGAAAAATGTTTCTCATGGAAATACAGATAAAATGGAAAAGTCTGGAAACTTTATAAAAAGGACAAAAGTTCAAACAGTGGCCATGTTGTAAAATGCTATGTCTTTTCTGTCTATTAAAAATTTGAAAGTTTAAAGGTCCCATCATATGCTTTTCTGGTTATTACCCGTCCCCTTGTGTGTTATGTCGCTTTTTCTGCATGTAAACGGTCTGCAAAGTCACAAACCCTCAAAGTACACCCTGTAGCGAGTAAAACTCTAACACAGAAAAGACCTGTCTATGCTGCCCCAGAACGCCTCGTTGGAGATTTGTCATTTTCCATTTTTTTCTTCCGGGGCCTATTGACGTCACTAAGTCTGGACCAATTGGCACACAGCTATAGAACAATAGGCACACCCTCTGCCAGGGTGGACTCCTGAGCAGCTCAGGAGTCCGCCCCACGAGGCCCCCGGAGCGGACAGTGTGAGGTGGATTTCCCGCTGTATTTCCATGGATGCTGGATATAGACTAAGTGCCATGTTAGCGGGACATTACGGAGCTCACGAGTCCGCCCCGCGAGGCCCCCGGAGCGGACAGTGTAAGGTGGATTTCCCGCTGTGTTTCCCTGAATGCTGGATATAGACCAAGTGCCATGCCAGCGGATACCGTACACAATGTAAATCTATTCTAGTAGACCTCAACAATGGAATTATGATCAGTAGAAATGGCCAAAACATGGGACCTTTAAATCAAAGTGCTACTATAACTGAAACATGTGAGTTCTAAATCTAAGGCATCAAATGTGTTCAACAAGATGTCAAATTTCCATACCTCATAAAAATGATTTATTAACTTTGTAGCCATTTGAGTTTTCCCTACACATATAAGCTGGTAGTGTTGAGCACATCTTCATTTCGCGCCAGCATCTCCTCATTGAGGCATGAGCAGAATTCCAACGTGACATGGGCAGATTTCATTATGGTTTAGGTAAAGGTTTCCCTACGACTAAGTTGTATATATTTTTCTCTAACTCTAGGAGCAATGGAAACCCCAGAAAATGTTTACTTTTTGCTGCCAAAGACAATGTACAATCCCAACTAATTTAAGGCAATGCAAATAGCCAAACCAAATGTTTGTGATTACTTTATTTTCTTTAAAAACCACAGATCCACTATATTAGCACAATAAGGTTTAGTGCATGTCAAACTTAATAAAGAGTACAGCAAAATGGACACGTTAAATCAAAAGGTAACAGCACAGAGAGGCACAAATTCAATCAAATACAGTTTTCCCCACAGTATCCGTCCATTTCTGTAGGAGGAAATCTAATTATGTCGACCCCAAAGCAGAGTTTCACCATAACGAGTGGATCAATTCATTATTTTTCTTCCAACAGAACAAGGTTCCCAAATGCAGAGTTGATGTAACAGTCTTCAGGATGCAGGATGCAAGACACAGAGGGGACATGGAGCCCATCTGGATGCTGCTTCCTGATTGGATGGTCAACAAAGTGTCTTTTCCCAGCTGATCTCCACTGATATGATGAACGAAGAGAGAAAGGAGAGAGCCTGGGGTTCAGGGATACCAGAAGTTGGCTGTGGAAGAGGTGAGAGGTTCAATAAGTTCAAGGTATTAACTCGGCGGTCCACGGTGGATAATAAAAGTAAAAGCGAAGATGAGAAGTGGCGTGCTGATTCAATTAAACGTTTTTATTAATGCTCCTGCTGTGTTGTTATTCAAGGCCATCGTTCCAATGGCTATAACTCAAGGATGACACTGACACTTAAAAATGGATTATGAAAGAGTCTGGCAGACTGACTGTCCCATCTCAAAGGATGATTCAACACTTCTGTAACCAATGAAAGATAATAACATACCTACCGTATGAGAGAACAGTGGGAGATTTACACAAGTAAATTGGGCATATCAATGACATGAAGGCCCTGTTAACACTTGGCACTAAAATCAGTTCTGGGTGGTCTGATTATAAGTCGGCGACTCTAAGTACAGGTGCGAATACACCCAAAGCAGATGCTTCAGAATCCGCAAAACACTCAATCTTCACATTGGGTGCCAGAAAGTCCCCAATGGTGCTTATTAGGAGGCAGTTCTTTCCTATCACCAGGTAACTCCCAACTAAAATGTGGACCTGCATTGGCAAGCTTTATTGGCTCTTAGAGGAATGGCTCTGCCATTGGAAGAATACGGACAGGGTCTTAATGAATGGTTAAACTTAGACAGATTTTTTGTATTCTTTATATGCAAGTTTGGAAATATCTGACCCTTTTATGAATATAAACATAAACAGAATATTCCTATCTTTTTATACTTTTATTTTAGTGATAGTCTTTGCTTTATCTTAAACTTATTTTTTTCCCTGACTGTTGACTTCGCTATCATAGAAGACTCCCCTCACATTAAAGCAATATTTAGGCAACATTTTAATAGCCTGCCACACGTATGCACAGAGTTGGTTTAAATATCCCTGTTGAAAAATAATATCTTGAACCTTTGTGTTCTGGGTATATATATACGCCAAGGAGATTATGTCCTCAGGATGTTGGAAGTAAGGTGTGGCATGGGGCCATGAGAAAAAAACGTCCTCATCATAGGGCAGATACACAAATTATGATTTAATATTATGAACTTCATGAGCTTGGGGCATTCATGTGTCGTTGGAATAATGTGATCATTTGGTTCCAGACAGGAAACGGGTATTCAAATGTTGTTCAAACGCTCTGAGCAATACAAATACACAACTTCTTTTTTGAGTCAGTCAAAGTCAACTTAACACAGGAAACTGGACCATCGGAAGAGCAAGTTAATGCACCATTGGATTTGGCAACGCTTTTCTTTTATGTAATACATATATATTTTTTGCATTACATTTTGTATCAATTTATTAATCTTTTAATGGTAAACTTAAGCCCTAACCTTATATGTTTACATACAAGTTGGCTATACAACAGGAGGTTCATGTTCCAATCATCCAAGGTGTTTTGAAGCACCAATGTAGATGTAGCTGTATGCAAACTTGTTGTGTGGCCTTATGGTCAAATTTAAATGTGCAACTTTTAACAGAGATAAAATTAAAAGCGAGTAGGATAAATACACTTGGTGAGTAGTGCTTGATTTTAAATGTACATGATATATGTCTGAATAGGGCCCTGGAGGACATGTCTAAATAAGAACAAACTGTATGTCTAGTGGAGGATTAAATTAGATGGGTCATTAAAAGAGCGTGTAGGAAAAACGCACTTTAATTTTCTGTTGAATAATGTTTGTTTATTACTGATGGCAGATCATAGTTAGTTTTCATGTCTTCATAACTACATCACTGGAATATATAATATAGATTATAGGGCAATGGTTGAGAGGCATTTATATACACTAAGTGTTTTAAATGACATCATTTATTTTCCTTCAAAGGAAGCTGTCGGATCTTTCCTACCTGATGGGGTTTAGTAATTGATCATCTTCTTAATTGCGTCAAAGCACTTCCACTTGTCTGGGATGTAGAAAGGTTCAAAGATGTGAGGGAAGGGGGTGTCATAACCGCAGACCCTGCTGATGGGAGCCTCCAGGTTTAGGAAGCACTCTTCCTGCAAGGGGTAGAAAAAAAACACAGGACAAATACTCTCAGCATTAGTTGAATGTTTAAAGATAATTCATGCAGGCAGAGAAGTCAAGCTAACATGTTCAGACTACAACAGATTTGATGTTTGACACAGTCTGAGAGAAAGAAGGCATTCATGTAGGCTGCTACAGACACGAGTATGTTCACATCATCAGTTTGCAACACGGTAAAGAGATATTATGTGATAATGGCAGAAAAACATAAAAAACAGTATCAAATGCTTGATCCAGAACGGATCAAAGAACTTGCCCTGTCTGATTAATATGCACAAAGTTGAAATTGTTCGGGCAGGTGCTCAGTAAATTTGGCCAAGGTTCAAAAGAAGCAATGACTCGTGTCTCCATAGTGCCTTTTGACCTCTCCCCATGGAGACAAAGCACAATGAAGTTCGACAAAACAGTACAAATGGGACAAACCCCCTGATGAGTTAAATGAACACACTTGAACGCGTGCAAAGATTTGCAGAAAAAGACCTGGAGTACCCTCTTTTAGATGTAATAGACCCGCAAACAACTCAAGCTACCAAAACAAAGGCATACGTGTTGACTGTGAGGAAGTTGCATACTGTAGCCTGTCTCTGACATCCTCATGGTTCTAAATCTGTTTTCTGTCAGTGCTGATGAGGAGCTTTGATACTTTTAAAGCTTGTAAAAAAAGAAAACACAAAAAGAGAAAAAGCGAGGGGGGACCCAGCATATGTTTGCTGCCAGGTGCCTGTGGAGTTTACAAGGTACAACTTGTTCTGTATTGATGAATTCAAAAGAATTGCCAAGTAGGAATACAAGTCCAATATCATCAAGTGTGGATGCAGGAACCAATTAATGTAACAGGAAGAGTTTACAGCCACGCTAAGAGATCTGTGAAGCTGCATCCAGGCACAGCGCTGCTTTCAAACACATTACTTTGTGGGTGAGCATTTGCCAAGTGGCAATACAAAAATTTCAGTCATCATTTTCTCATACACTAAATGTGTATTGGACAAATGAAGTAACAGAGGATCCCCTTAGTTATTTTAAAGTCTATTCTGAAGGGAAGCCATATCATATTTGTTGAGACAGGAGGGCAGCATATCTGCCTACAAGTGTTCCGTTAAATGCCTAAGTAAGATCGTCTATCAGCACAGAACAACGCCTTGTTAAATAGCTCAACAATAACAGCTGCAGCCCCCCCCCTTTGAATAGTCAAAAATGAAAAACCGAGGACACGTTCCATGTTTTCTTATGCTCAAATGTTTTTAATAAAGGAGGGGTTTGTTCAAGTACATGGGATTTGTTGTTTTGTTGCTATACCGTGGTATTGGTATCTAAAACTAGTGGAATTTAACTGGTATTTGTATGGACTACTTGAGTACTTAGGACGGTGGTGATATACAAGTAAACCAGCCATTATTGAGTTCAAATCAGTAAAGTTTTCTTAACAATAATTATTGGCACAACATCCTGTAAACAGAGGCCAGAAGTCAGAGGTTTGGTGCCAGTAAGAATTCAATCTAAAAACAAGGGGGAGCTGCACCTGTTCTTGAAGCTTGAATACCATTTGAAGAAACCCTTCACTGCTCTGTCTCAGCCTTCCTTGTGGACTTCTGAACAACCTGAGATTGATTCTCTCCGGCATGCACTAAAAACAGCGGCTGTACTACTGGTGACCTGAAAGACTTATCTTTGCATGTCAAAGTATTTTCTCCTTTAGAACATTGCTTTCATGTGCTGATAAATGTCCATGGAGCCCAGTAAAAGTCAGGTTCAAATTAAAAGTATATGCGAGTAGAGAAAATAAAGACAGTGGTTCTGGATTGTGTACAGTTTCATTGAAGAGTGATGCTTCAGACATGTTTTTGCGTTTGCTGCTAATACAGCCCCCAGGCAGAACATGAGATCATTAAGACGGTTCAATCTTGTTTAAAACATTATTCAGACGTGATGCCTGGCAGCTAGCTAACACATACAAAAGCGTATTTCTTGGGCAAAGTTTGCTCTCATTTGATGGAAACATACAAACCAGGGAATGTTTGAATTGAACAGGAGTGTACTTGAATAAACAGGGCTTGGAGCACAGCTGGATGTGGCATCTACTTTGAATTACTGTCAGGCAGATGGAAACTTCTCCTAACTGACCAAAATGAACAACACAAAGTACATTGTGTTTCTGTTATCTTTGTCTATGGATGAAAGTGACAAAGATACAATCCATATTAATTGAGATTATAACCTCAAGATCTATTCTCTGCCCAACTACAGACAACCAGTCAGACAGTACCAGGGAGTTTGCCCTTTTGTCTGGATCACATCTGTAATCTCCTTTAAATACATTGACTGGAAGTGGGAGAAAAGTACAGTAGTCTGACTGCCTGCCACCACAGCTGGACAGAGAATGGCCACACAACTCAGATTTCATTCAAATCGGTATTTATCTTTTGGGAAGTGCATCATTATGTGTAATATACTTAAATGTCAGAATAAAAATATGTCATCCTGGCAGTGCCAAATCACTTGCGTTTTGCAGTGGTTTTGAATTCGATATAAAATGATATTGTTTCTCCCAGATTTTGTCAAAAACACCCGCAGATGAGGGGTTGCAGTCAGATGGATGGGGAAGTGCCAATATCAGCTGCTATATCAGTGAAGATAGACGCTGCTTGGCCGAGGTACATTTTTCACGGAAAGATTTAAGAGGCTTTTAGTGGAACTTAACCATTATTCAATTTCTCCAAAATAAAGGTGATCATTTTTTTTTTTGCAACATGTGTGTGTTTTATGTATCCCTCCATCGTGAGGAATTTAGCTGCGTTTGCTCAGTGTTGATATTACTTGTTCCCAACTCAAACATGTTGTATACTTCAACATGTTTCAAAAGCTCTCAAATTAGGTGAAGATCAAACAACACCATAGAGCCATTCTTGTAGAGCCAACTGGAATAGTCAGCCAATACATCTTGTTTTTTCATAAACACTACACCGACACGGTACTAAAAGCTCAATATGTCTATGCAAGTCGGTACAGCTGAGTCTTACCAAGTGCAGCTTAGATGGCTAATCTAAGTATAGCAAAGTCTGACAATGACAACATAAAGTTGAGTCCAACTATGAAGAGTATACGCCTACAAGCAGGGTCTGCCCTTAAAACTACTGTATTAATTGAAATCTATACAATTACATGCTATTTTGATAACATAAGTGCTAATGCCAACTATGGCTAAATGCAGTACACTATGAGTGGTGCAATCATAACGGTCAACTAGTTGAGTATGGTACGCTGGACACTTCTCTCACTCGACAACCAGCATATTGGCTACATAACTAAAGTAGCACAGCCAGTAAGGAGAGATCCAACAAACTCACGCAATATCCCAAAAATACAATTATTCATGAGGTTTTTTTCACTATTTAATAAATGCAACCATACAGTGACAACACACTAGTATGGTTGCAACAGTAGAAAAACTGTTGAAAAACTTTTCTACAGTGTCAAAAAGAAGCCATCATCAAATGTCTAATTGGTTGATCAATAACGCTTATAGATAACCAACAGCAACGATTGTCATTCCTGCTAAGGGTACAGCAGCAATGTGGTCAGGAAACGCTTATTCATAGCCTTATGTTAGTGTCAGGCCTATTATTAGAATTCCCCCCTTTAGTTTAGTTAGTTGCAAACTCAACTTGACACTTCATCCCCAAGAGCCCTGCCCGGTGTTCAACTTTGGAGTTTCCCTGTGTATTCTACCAGGAATTTGCACTACCTTTACAGTTTTAACATCAAACAGCTATAAGCATTCCCTCTTTCGTGAATATAAGATGCATCTATTGTTGTGCCAAGGCAATTAGTGCTGTGAAAATGTGCAAAGTTAACTACCTTTAACATGTGAAGTGTTATAGTAGGCTATCCCATCTCCATCATGTTTTCCTTTAACAAAAACCCAAGGCATGCCATATTCAACCATCTGCTGCTTTGAGGTTCTCTTCTTAAGAGAAAAGCTGTCAATTCTGTTTGCTACTAATCCTCTTACCATTTCACAGAATACATATTTGAACCTCAGAAAACCTGATAATGATTCTCTTCAACAGGCACTGAAAGAAGCCACTGGACCACTGGTGAAATGAAAGCAAATATTTTCTCCTTTTGCATTGCTTTCATGTGCTGACCAATTTCCATGACCTTGAGGATTATGAAGTGCAGTAAATTGTGTGTGTATTGTAAGCCAGTGGTTCTAAATTGTGTTAAGTTTCATAGAAGGGGGATGCTTATGTGTTTACGCTCACATAAGCTACATCAGGTTACTCCATTACTATATCATAGGTTTCCTTGGGTCACAGTCTTCAAAGGTGAATACACATTTTATTAAGACAGTGATTCTATACCCAGGAGCTCACTGAAACAGTTCAGTCTTGTTTTATGTCAATCAACATCAATAATGCATACCATAACAGGCAGCTAGCCAACAAAGGTTTAGTCTTATTTGATGGAAACAAACTCTGGGAATGTTTCAATTGAACAGGAGTGTACTTGAATAGACTGTCCTGGAGCACAGATGTACAAGTCCTCCTATTTGAGTTACTGACACGCAGATGGAAGATCACAACATAACAACCATAGGACGGTGTTGTCTTTTTAAGTCTAGATCATCACACAAGCAAAGCCTTTTCATCACGTTGCCTCGGTGCAGGCTTGTGTTTAAATGTATGTATTTGATATCATAACATGCAGGGAATAAACTTTAGTCCAAGGTATTTATGAAATGTTGATTTCTGATGGTCACTAATGAGGAAAGAAAACTGTTCCTACCATTGAAAACACCTTAAAGGTCCCATGTCATGGCCATTTCTACTGATCATAATTCCATTGTTGAGGTCTACTAGAATTTATTTACATTGTGCAATTTTCCAAACTCACATTGGTTTCTCATACAGCATCTCTGTATAGTATGTGTATTCACTCTCTGTCCTAAACGGCTTGTTGGAGCTCCTGCCCC